AAAGTACTGTTTCACCCAGTTTTATCCAGAGAAATTCACCAATTAATAATGTAATATCAACGCAATAAGATCAATCACTTATAATCAAGATATTTTTCTTTGCTCACTTATATGTATATATATTTTTTTCTTTTTTACTATATATCAAATTAACACGATGGCTAGTACGAAACGTTACTTGGAGGGATAGTTTGTGGTTTCTAGGAATGTGTGACACATCTCTATCGATAGAGATCCAGAGAACGAGAAATCGATTGTCACGATAACTGAAAGCGACGGAGCGACGTACGTACAATCGGCCTGTTCGTCACCGTTACCGCGGATAGACTGCTTACCATGGTAGATACGGGCCCAAAGAAGTTGAGAGGAGTGAGAAAGAGAGAGAAAGAGGGAGGGGAGGGGGGGGGGGAGGATCGGACTTAGGCGAATGACGACAAGCATAAATGCAGGCTGCGTGTTGACATGTAATGTAATCATATATGAGGAAAGAAAAAAATCCAATGTTTCTTTTTTTGTTTTTTTGTTTTTCTTTTTTATTTTCTAGAGAAAATATCTCTAATATATTTTTAAGTATTTTTATTTCTAATGGGGAAAAGTATAATTTTTTTTTTTTTAAGAAAGAAACTTTAAATTATCCAGTTTAAAATTTTATTACAGAATAAAACTGGATTTTCAAAGGATTATCGATAAGTGATGTTTCGAAATTTCGTTAATATATATTATTTTTGTTAGATGATTGAAATAAAAAATACATATTTAAAAAACCAATGATGTAACTATTAAAATAAAATTTTCTTCCTGAGGAGATTCAAAATAAGAGCTCTCTTTACATCAAAGAATTAAATCAAAAATATAATTAACTTTATAAATTGTTGTAAAAAAACGTTGTTAATTTAAAATCGACGATACTCCTTTTACTTTCTTCTAATAAACGAGTTTTTCTCCAAAACCCGCATCCGGGTACCAGGAACCAAGGACACATTAATTCGTCGAGATATCGAAAGATCGATCGTATCCATACGAATTTTTATCGATTAAAATTTTCGCGATTTTGTGTACGATCGATCATTTGAATTTGTTACGGTTTAACGTGGTCGACACACGTAAAATTAAACCGATTTAGGTCGATGTTTTTATTTCAGAAGGGGACTGAACGAGCGGTCCCTTGACAATAAATCGTCAAACGTTTGCTTTTTATTAGAGATGGGGGTGTAACTCTAAAGCTTAATCTGGGGCAATATGTACTCGCTCCCAACGAGTAGTAATACGAACGACAACACTTTAACGATGATAGTATCTACTTCAATCCGATCGCACTCTGAACGATCATCGATCTGAATCACAGTTTCTGCGAACGTCATATTCGAGGAAACGCGTCGTTTAACGGGAAAGTAATATCTGCTTTCTAATTTGTGGAATGAAAATAAATTCTTTACGAGTTATTTGCTTTAACGCGATAATTAAGTTGGATCAAAAATTCTTTTTAACGTAACGACTATATATTATTCTTATAGTAATACTAATAAAACTTGTCGAGGTTTTATTATTACTTATTTGTGCATAATCGCGTTGCCATTAACTCGTTATTTTACCAATCTCATTAAGACCTTGCTTAAAAATTACTTGCAACGTAACCATCCTCCACCCAAGCTAACACGTATAACACCATATTTTCGTTTCAGATCGAATTAAATCGACCCTCTCCTGAAAATCACTTGTCGTCACACATACGGGACACTTTCGCTTTAATTGATTAATTACATTTACCCGATCGAGCGCCCTCCTCGCCAAGAAGGAGGAGGAAGAAAAAAAGAAATAAAAGGAGAGGAGAACGGTGACACTTCCGATCTTATTAGGGGCGCGGTACCTCCTCTTCCGTTGCGGACTCGCTCGAAGACCCAACCGCTTTTTATCCCCCTTTCCACGATGCTACCACCACTAGCCCCGGTAAACGAAATGTAATTATTTTTAAAAAGGATGTAGGGACCGTGTGTGTATGCGCGCGTCGTGTTTTCAAGCGGATGGAACGCGTGCGTTCAAATAAAGCGTAGGTGCTTTAAAAGTAAGCATCGGGGATACGGAGATGCGCGACGTTTCTATAAATCATTCCTCGCACGATGTACACCTACATCGAGAAGCTTTCGTGCGGATAAAGATTGCGTGATTTGTAATGTTGGGCCGGGCCGGAAGTCTCCTTGGAAAAAGAGGGATTTACGCGGAATTTTAAGAAGACCGCACCGCGTGCCTTTTCTCCTTTTCCTTGGAACGAACGATTTTACGTAATTTTATTTGAATATTTATTTTTAACTTTACTTTTTAATTTTCTTAATTTTTTCAATTTTTTCTTTTTCTTTTTCTTAAGCAAAGGGATAAAGGAGAAAGACTTATGATCTTTTTTCTTTTTTTATAATTTAGAAAATTTATTACTTTTCTAATTTTTATCGGAATTTCTTTTATCCTCAAATCTTTTTAAAGATTAAATTTTTCTAGATTATTAAAAGATACAAGCGAAATCAACTTCACATCAACTTCGAAGCGATAATTCTTTCACGGTTCATCGTATATACAAGTTGGTTCTTGTAAACCAGACGATCTAAGCAAGACTTTTATAACGACTATTACATTTTACAAGTAAACTAATAAAGCTTTGCATTAAGCTACGAAAATGAAAGAAATTTTTGCTTAAATCTATGAATAATTTGTGATAGCATAATTGCGATTGCCGAGACTCGTAATGTATCTTGTTAAGAATCGACGCCTCCACGTTGTGGCACGTTAAACGTCGTTTGTCCAACGAGTTCACTGATTTCACTGTTGATGTCTTACCGCCCTCGGATTTGTTAACAGCTCGAGATTGAAAGAGACCGGTGTAATTCGCGAAGAAATCTTGTTAAATAGATTTTATTTATATTACCGATTGTAATCTCTACTATCTTTCATTCTACCGGTTTATCTTTAAATAATTAAATAATTAAATGATTAGAAAGAGACACGAAGTGAGCATACAGTAAATAATAACAGTAAATAAGTTTACATTTACATTATTTGAAAGAATATTTTTTACAAACAGATTATTGCATCGAAAGATTGATTATACGATGTAATTTTCATTTTCAACACCGTTATAATAATCTATTCTATCGAACAAATTATTATATGTTCTCCAATGCGTTTCTCTCAAAGTTTTGCTCTCAAATGGATACCTAAATATTTTCATAAAAAAAGAAGAGAGAGAGAGAGAGAGAGAGAGAGAGAGAGAGAGAGAGAAGAAAGAAGAAGAA